GATAGTGAGGGCACTTTCACAGTTATTGAGAAGATGGCTTGAAGGGAAGGCAGGAGCCCTAGAAATATCTGCAGGATTGTATCTTAATTGGTGGAATTGTATCTTAATTGGCAATGGTGGAAAAGACCGAAGCCAACTCACCCAACATTGAAATATTTAATTTTGTAATAACAACGTATGGAGATGCCAAGTGAGAACATAAGGAAGTTGCAGATGTTGCTTTGTGGCACAGCTCCTGGATCCCAGCTTGCTCTGGGATTGCCAGGTATTTAAGCCCCTGCTGAAAGGGTATCCATGTGCTGTTGAGAGAGATGGGGACTGGTGGTTAAATAACACATCAGGATCAGAAGGAACATAGCAAATCAGAGCTTGCAAAGGACTTTTTTATCTCAAATGGGAATCACACTGCTTCTCCCCCAGCTGTGAGTAAAATAAACCTAACTGGGAATCTGGCAGTCCTCTACTTAATTCAAGAAGCCTGACCTGCTGTCAGTAACTCAGCACTCAGATCTTTAAGCCTCTCTTAGGTGATCAATTTGTCCCCTGCAGCGGTTCCTTCCACAGAAATTCCCACTGATGCCAGTGCGGGAAGCATGAAACAATTATGGGCTGGCCCACTGTTGAACATGGTAACCAGGTGTGGATGATCTCAGGAGGTATTTCTGTCTGTTCATGCCACTGGCAGTTTTACAAGGCAGAACATCTTTGTTCTTAACCCAACAGAGACTAGAAAGCTTCCCGCCACCCAGTATTAAGAACAAAGGACTGACTGGACTGGCAGCACCAAGACTGGACCCAGAGTCCCCTGAAGTGTTGGCTCCAGGACACCAACACAAAGTGCTGATATTTTGTACTGTCCAAAATATAAAATAAATATAAAATAATATAAATATATAAAATACTGATATTTTGTATTGTGCAGCTCTCAATACTATTTTAAATATGATTCTAAATTCAGACTTTATTAAAAGCAAGCAAACAAAAGCCATGCATACAACTACTGCAGGATATTTCCCTGAATGTGACTCCTTTGTTATTATAGCCCTGACAACTGTCCTCTCCACTGGATCTTGTTTCATAGGACAATTCAGGTTGGGAGGGACTTCAGAAGGTCCTTGGTCTCACCTGCTGCTCAAAGCACGCAGGGTCAGAATCGTGGATCTTGAAGAACTCCCAAGGAAGCACAATGCATAACCTCTCTGGGCAACCTGTGGCACTGCTGGATTGTGGGGTAAAACAGTACAATTTATGTCCAACCTCTCAAATTGTGCCCTTTTTTTCTCAACCTCCCACCATGCATAACTGTGGAGAGCCTGGACCCATGTTCTTTATGACCTTATGATGCTGAAGGGCTGCTCTGAGGTCCCCCAGCAGCACTCTCCTTCTTCAGGGTGAACAAGGCCTACACCCTCAGCCCCTCCTCACAGGGCAAGTGCTCCAGCCCCCAAACACTCGGGTGGCCTTTGCTGGACCTGCTGTGGTTGGCCAATGTCCATGCTGTTCAGGGGTCTCCAGACTGGACGCCACAGCACGGTGTGGTTGGCTGAGCTGTTTCTGCTGATCTGGTGACCAAGCTCCCGTTCACACAGCTGGGAGGCTGCTGTCCCTCTCTGCTGCCAGGACAAGCCACCAGCTCTTGTTCTTGCTGTGCCCCAGGCCCCTTTCAGCAGAATCGCTCCCCAGCCTGCCATTCCCAAGTCCCTGGAACTTCAAGGGGCACTTCCTTGCCCGGCACCTGGCTCTGCACTCACCCTTGTGGAATTTCATGCAGGGCTCCGCATTCCTGCAGCCTCTCCAGGTCCCCCTGAATGTCAGCTCTTCCCTCCAGTGGAAGGAGTGGTTCACATACATTGGCATGATTGGTAATCTTCATGAGAGAGAGCTCAGTCTCCTTTTCCACGTCACTGACAAGCTTGTTGAACAGGAAATGACCCAGGACAAACCAGCCTTCCCAGAGTAAGCCCCTTAACCACTTCCATCTGCTCCCAGTCACGCCAACAACTTATCTATTGACTTCTTAATGAGAATTTTGTTTATGCTTCTTTCATTACACTACAGAATCACAGAATGGTTTAGGTTGAACAGAACATTAGAGATCCTCTAGTCCAACCCCTCTGCCATGGTCTAGGTCTGGTTCCATTAGACCAGGTTGCTCAGGCCCCAATCTAAGCTGGCCTTGAACAGTTCCAGGGATCTGGCATCCACAACTACTCTCAACAACTTGCACTAGTGCCTCATTACCCCCTTAGTGAAGAATTTCTTCCTAACATTGTATTACCCAAATTGTATTCACTGGAATGTTTAGGACCTCCACTATTTGCATCACAAACTGTTCACTCATCTGTCAGATGTAAGGAACACCCAAGTTGCCCAGAACAAATCCAACAGTCAGGAGGAATCACTGTATTCAGAACCATGCTTTATGTAATATTTACATCATACAGTAATTTTGGAGAACTTTGTCACTATTTTAAATTACAGTTTATTAGATGCAATATTTGCTGTATTGAAAAAAAATCCAGCTAATGAACCTCTCCTTGTATAAGCTAGTATATAAATAAGGAAATTGCAATAGCACAGTAGAGGTGTTTAATGTCACATGAAGCTGTAGAGCAATTACTCCGTGTTCCATAACTACCTCTTGAAAAATCTTAAGAATGGTAATCTGATTATGTTACCATTGTCAAAATTATATTTCTCATGCTAAGTATAGTTTTGCGAGTTCCTAATAAAAAAGGAAGTAGGTGTTTTGCTAACTAGGCTGACAATTCAAGTATTCACGAATATCCATGGTTCATTGACCATTAACAAGCAGTAAGGCATCAAATGATGATTTAGAATTCCCTCCTTCCTACTCAATGCCCCCGGAGTAAAATACAAAAGCATATTTTAAATGTAGCTTAAATTTTAATCATTGGCAAACAGGAAATTTTATTTGGGCAACATTCCAAAAAGCTGTCATTTTTTATTTTTGCCTTATTTAAAAAAAGTTTGGTACAAGGATCTTAGTCAAATACAGTATGATGACAGAACATTATTTCTTTAAACACTCATAACTGCACTGTATGTATGTATGTATACCAAAGCAACACTGAGAATAAACTCAATAAAATGCAAAAATTGGAGACATTTGGGTGGTGTGTGTTGATTTTTTTAAAATTTGCTTCCTATTTATGCACATAAATTAAGACCTCTGATTTTCTTTGGCATAATTTTTGCTATCATGATCTGATTTGTAAAATTTAGTAAACAAAAAAAAAAATCAAGAAAAGTATTCTTTTTTAAAAGCGTGCCCCAGTACAAATGGAAAATTCCACACAGGATCCAGAAAAGCTGTGTGTATGTGTACAAACATGTGTGTGCTTATACATACATGTACATATAACCTGTCATTTGATTGCTGAAATGACAAAGTTCAAAATCCTAAGATTGCACTGGTGATGATCCAAATTCATTAATATGGCTTTGCAATCTACATACAAAAACCAGCTGCTTAGGACCCACAGAAAATATCTGTTTTGTCATAATTCAATTAAAAATTCAGGAAAGTTTAGCTGGCCATTTAGTGCCAGTCTACAGTGCTGCTTGCCAAAGTCAGACTAGCATACAGATGCTCATGGAAGAGTCAGAATTAAAGGAAAAACTCTGAAGGCCAACCTGTGGGAAGCGAGTCTCCTAAGAAGTCAGTAATACCTGAGCTGGTGAATTTCCTTAAGTTTTTCAGGCATCGTTTCAGTTTGACCTGAGCTCAGTACTCAGGCCAGGAATCTCACAGGCTTTATGAGCCTTACATTTTGCAGCAAGGCACAGCTGCAGCAGGAAGCAGAGCAAGCGCTGTCACCTCCTCAGCCCAGCTTCATCACCAGTCTCACCTGAGTAGCAGGTCAGATATTGTGATTTTCACACCCAGGCTGATGAGGCACCCTACAACCACAGATAGCAGATCAGGCTTTTTAGGGGACTGAAGAACAAGACACCCAATCTGTTCGTTTAAGGATGAGAAAAGTGTTGAACTCAGCAAAGACCTTGCAAGAAGAAAGTAATTTTACACCTGTACAGAAGCAAAAAAAAAAAAGCATACAGGACAGTAAACTTTTACCTTTAAAAATACCTAGAATATCAGGCAAAGGTTTTGTGAACTGTATCTAAATTTTATCCCAGTCCCATCCTAAGCCAGGAAAAGTTTTGCAAGTGGCACTCATGCATAGGCAGATAACCAGATTTCACTGTGTGCTTTTGTAGACCCATCCCTAACTCTGCTGTATGAAGGGTAAAGAATGCAATATTAGGTAAAACTTCCATGGACTAAGAGCAAAAACCAGGCAGATGAGCAAGTCAATCCTGCCTGACTTCTGAAGCTGTAGAGAATATCTGGGACTGGCATCATCCAAGTAGAAAAACACCTAGGAATTCCCAAGCTAAGAAGTTACAGATGAACATTTTCTGAACATTAAAGCAACACATGAAAAATGAGTCTGCTTGTACTACAGATGGACAGAAATTGCACCAGAATAAATCAACCTCTGTGCACTTTTCTTACACAGAAACACTTACCTATTTGACAAGTAAAGAAAATAGTCTCAAGAGGCTGAATATTTTTAAGATTAAATTACCAGGCTATGTTTTTAAAAATAGTAGCATCCTGTTCTTCCTAGCTCAGTGGAGCATCAATCCAGGTACTGTTTTGCAAGGCAGTATCCAAAGACATTCCTCAGCCTGCCATGTTGACTATCAGCAACAACAAATTGAGCAGCACTTCCCTGATTTGCCTTTCCCTGTCCTATATTCATCCTTCTAAACATCACTTAGTAGGTAAAGCAAGCTGTGCAGATAAACAGACAAGAAAAAATATGCTGTTGTATGTGTGATGCTTTCACAACTGCTCCTCATTAGCTTCATTCATTTTACAGAGATAGGACAAGCCAGTTAATCTGCTGAATTTTTAAATTTGTTAATTTATCAAATTTGTTAAGCAGTCTGCTCTGAAAAAAAAAATGGAGAAAGCAGAACCACAACTCAGTTTTATTTCTTTTAGTTAATGACAATCTCTCTCATAACAGAAAGGCAGAAAAAAGTGTTTTGTTCAAAATAATCAGATATAAATAATTATATCAGGAAGGAAATTATCAACAATAGAATCTCACAGAAAAAAAACCAAACCCTCTACTTTTACAAAGACATGTGAAGTTCATTTTTAAGAACAGAGCAAGAAGCCATCTTTAATGCATCTGTTTAAACTGAAACTTTAGAACAGCTCTCTGCAACACATTTTACTCAGGAAAAATAAGGTAGCTATATGAAAACAACAGCTACTCAATTCAAAATCATTAAGCAGAATGTTTTTACCACCTACCATTCACATCAATTTTGATTTTGCACAATGATTCATATCACTTACAGATTCCACTTCAGAAAACTAGGAACACCACCATTTCACTTGTCTCCTTCCAACATGAGTTAGTCATGGTTCTAAGAATGACTAACCCTAAATGTGCATTAATTGATGGCTACTCCTTTAACAGGAACCAATTAAAGCTACTGCATAGGAATAAACTATTTTCATTCAAGATTCTTGTATTAGAGCACTAGTTATATGACGCAACTGTAGTACTTGTACAGCATATGCTATTCCCAGACAGGTTTCTCCCGGCAGTCTTTTTTGTTTTATCCAGTGATATTGTGCCATATGTCTTGCCACTCTAATTGCAACAATGTCTCTAAAGTACTTAAAATTTTTATCTTCTTTTAGGGTCAACTTAAAATTTTTCATCTCCCTTTAATGATACCAAGGGAATTGTAACAAAGTGTGAGGAACCTGATAAAAAAAAAACCTTTTACTTTTTCTTCCTTTCAAGGAAAAATCCACATAATCTGAACATCCACCACTGGATGAACTACAAATGCATGTTCTGGTGAATAAATAATTTAAGCATCCAACCTCATATTAACTGCTTTTAGCCACTTACCTCTGGCTAAATAATCTAAAAATGGAGCATTTAAATTTTGTATTTGTAGCACTTCAGTAAGCTGTTGTACCTCTAATGAGAGTTTGAATGGATACTAAAGATTTTTCAGTCTTGCACTGAACGCACTACACTGTCTGTGCTTAGGAAATTTAATTCAACTGCAGACCACTTAGTGGTAGGAATCTCCAGCAGCCAAGTGCCCCAGGTAGCACCTACCCTGAGCTGTCAATTAAAACTTGCTCTCTCTGAAGTCTGAGATCCATGACCTCAGAATTCCCCAAAGCCAGCACTAGATTGCTAGGATGCTACATAAGGAAGGAGGTATGTATGCTCTGGGATATGAAGCATAGTGCAGAAATGTGAGCAGAACTGAAGAACTAACCCAGGAAGTGCCCCTGGAGGCATGTGCAAAGCAGGTACGCTCCTGTTTGTTCCCTTCTGTTACCAGTCCTACACCAGGCTCACAAGATTCAGCTAACCTGGACAAGCATCAGGCTGGAAAATCCACCTACACCATGCCACACGGACCTACCTTCTTCAATCCCACTGCCATGAAAACCCTTGCGGAAAATTCCATGTTTACCCCAGCTGCTAGAGATTAAACATACTCTGACTTGAAGTAAAAGCATGCCTAAATAATTACTTGACAATTTCAGAGATACTTTAATATGTAAAAGAAGTAACCAAACCCAAGAATCCTCATTCATAGCTCCAAGCTGCTGTCTGTAATCCCACCAGTTATTCTGTCCTGAGTTGCAGCTCTCAAACTGCACCCACGGACAAGCCCCACTACTTCACAAATGAACAGACTCAAGTGTAAGGTGGTGCAGAAAACTTGCCAAACGGGGTGTGTCATATGTCCTGTGACTCAATGCACTGTCATAGATTTTATGGTGACCCTAAAGATATGGTTGTTTCTTTATTAATGAAGAAACTACCCTATATTAAAGATTGGTTTTAAATCTTTATTTTAAAAGATCCAAAATTTACAAAAGAAACAAAAAAGTACTTCTGAAAAGAGCACAGTTAAAATAACTTTTTCAAACCTGTAAGGGATTATAATTCAGTAAGAAGACACTAAAATTCAGACAGAATCATAGAACACCTTGAGTTGGAAGGAACCCCTAAGGATCATCATTTCAACTCCCTGCTCCTTGCAGAGGCATAACTGTACATAACTTTACGTAACTGTAGAAGATTTCAGTTTGCTTTTAAATAATCTTAATTATAATTATGACAATAAATATGAACAATCAGTGTAAAGAAACTGCAGAACAAGCAGACATTGAAGTTATTGCACAATGTATCTGCTGAATCTCCTATGACCCAAGATTTCGGGTTTCAGTTTTTGGCACTGGATTCCAACAAATCTTTTGCTTCATTTATTTTTGTTGCTAAGTAAGGTGATCCACCTAAGAAGAGAAAGAGGAAAGGAATACTGTTTACACATTAGTATTAAGTACCAAACTACCTCACTTGCATCTCTTTATTACTCATTTTTATTAGCTCTTTCCTACACAGATCCTTGTGATACAAATGACATTGATAAGAAGTAAACTAATGGATAAGGAAACATGAGAAATGTAATCAAAACTGAAATCACTGTAGAATAACACAGAACAACTTGTCTCAGAGAGAAGACTGAAATCTGAAATCACTTTATATCCTGTGATTTAGATCTCCAGTGGGATGCTAGTGCAAACGTATGCAAGGTCAGCTGTCCTGAACATTAATTCAAACCTAACAGCAATTACTTCCACTCATACTAAAAACTGAGAGGTAAAATTTTTACATAACTTTGACAAAGAATTATTGTGCAGGCATCTCCTGTGTGAGATGCCCAGAGTTACCAGCCAGAAACTATCACATTAAAGCTATTTAAACATGGTACACCTTCTAACACCTAGTGCTGAACACTGCCATTGCTCTACGCTCCATCTAACGATCTGATTACAGTTCAGCAGTCTTTGTGTGTCTGGGTTTTTTTCAGTCTACCCCTGAGTGCCAACCATCTGCCCACAGTCACCAAAAACAACACTGCAAGGTCTATATCAGTAACTTACCACTTACTATAATACACCTATATTTTTACATGAAAATGTGATTCCAGCAGTACTGTGCACTGCCTAGTCTTTGCAAGGCATTTGTTCAACCTTATTTTTTTCATTCACCATTTCCTTCATTCTGCTAGTCAGAAAAAAAAACTGATAGAAGAAACATACAGAGCTAGCTGTACACACATACAAATAAAAAGGTGAGGCTTGCTTAAAGACTTCTTTAGGTCATTGCTGCAGGAATCCAAATCAGTATAAAGTAATTTCATAGTGTAATAAAACAACAGGAAAAAAAATGAAGTTCTTTTCCATGGTTTGGTCTTGTTTGAGTGTTTTAACTCTAATATGTAAGGAGGAAATTGAGGCAGTGCACGGGATGAATGATGAATTGACTATTGAAAAAAAATTTTTTTTTCTTTTCTTAAATCAAGTAGCTTTGTAACAAGGAATAGGATTACTACGTTGACTATTGCTTCTTTCACAGAGTAGATAAGAGCATCAAATAAACAGTAAAGACTAAAACCTGCAATAAACAATGTATTCCAAGTAATTTTTAAATGCACATTGATTTTCTACATGTCTAGAATACAGCATCTTAAAGTAAATTTCAATCTATTGGAAGTGTTTTCACTACATTTACATCCTTAAGTGCCATATTAATTTTGTAGCCCTCCAATGAGAGGAAATTCAATCTCATGATTGCCTAAGTGTTTGTTTATAATTAAGGCAAGTCCAAAAGGTTTCTCTTTTTTTTTCTGTGAGGAAATGTTCCTTCATAAATTTTGTAACTGGTAACTTAACATACAATGTATCAATATGAAAACACTTTAAAACTGAACTGTAAAGATTAACAAGCAACCATTTCAGTAGTACTCTCTGGGGATGTTTTTATGCATATTTCTATATATTTCTTATTTATTTCTAATATTTCTTTTCTCCAACAGTTTGGATCTCAGAACACATGTAACTTAAAATCTGCAATTCCTGCTCTTTCTTCTGTCATCTCCAGGTGGTAAAATATTATTTCAAAATTAAATTATACAATTGAATATTATTTTTAAATGAACATCTGTGCTACCCACAGCCAGAACTGATCTATACAGAAGCAAACAAGCCTCTCTGCGATGCCACATGTTCAAGTTTACTCCAGGCCCTCACTCTGCAGCTGAAGATATTAAGGTTTTTTTTCTACAGCCATGCCAGAAGAGCTTCAGGGGCATCGAGAAGCACAAATCCCTGCAACTGGTGCTCCCACTGAGAAAACGCTCGGTGCCTCACTATCACGCAGGAGGGCTCACGACATCCATCCAAACCTACACTGTGCCCAGCTGCAGCAGCATTAAAACTCTAAGAGTGCAGCATTAAAATCTTTGTTGGGGTTGTTAGGATCTTCCTAACAGGAAGCATCTCTTCACATACACTCAATATCCACCTGGAGATTCACAATTCTCTTTTGTTCACGTGTCCACATACTGCTACAACAAACGTAGAAGTTCATTATTAATAGAACTTGACCTAATAGGTACTCTGGTAGGTTAAGAGACTTTTGACCACTGTAAAATATTCGAAATGAAGACGAGAAATTCCTTTCTAGGTCTGTCTAACGTATACAGTACAAAAAGAATAAAAATGAAAAGTCTGAAATCAAATTAGCAGGACAGCTTTTAAACTAAACTGAAGGATGAAGAGAGAAAAGCATCAACACTTCCCACGGCCAGTGGACACACTTTTTCATTTTCTTAAAACGGGGTGCTGGTAGGGAGCCTATAATTCTGTCAAAAAGATATAAAACCCCTCTGATTTCCCCTTTTGACTTCTGAAATACAGTGCAAGTCTTCACCATCTGTTATTTTAAAGCAGAGACAGCAAAGAACATATGGGCTTTCTTTCTCAACCAGCTGTAGTGTAGTTAAAGTTATAATAATAGCCTTTCTCTAAGATAAATTTACATTAAAAACCTGGCCCGTAAAGCAACAGTGCCCAGCTTTACATTCTTTCCAAGTGAATTCCATGAAGTCTGGAATTCATCAATGATGTACTTAGTAACCGCAAAACATTTCCCCACAGAAAATTACTTTCATGCATGCAATTGGTCCACCACAGTTCAAAACAGGAATTTTATTTTAATGTAAAATTTTTATAGCTCATTTTTCCTTATTTTTCAAGAAGTTTTTGCGAAGTGTGGAAAACTGGTCCCTGAGCTCATAGTCTTAACTGAAGCAGCACAAGTACAGAAAACAACTTTAAATAAAAATTAGTAAAACCAGTTCATAAAGCTCAGTTTATCTGAGAGGACAAACAGAAGCTCAAGTCAATAAACAACAAACATTTGCACTTGATGTGGTTATTTACACAGTCAGAAAACTTAAAAGATCTCATTCAAGCCTCTTCCTTTCCAGCCCTATTTAAGAAAAGTTATAATTATTTACCTTTATCAGGATGATTCAAAATCATGATTTTCCTATGTGCTGTTCTGATTTTGTCCTTGCCAGCAGATGGACTGCAAAAACAAATTGAAGTGCTTACAAGAAATGCCAGAGCACTCAGGCTAAAAATTATACTGGCTTCAAAAATAATTGAAACTTGAGATTTTCACCATCTTGTGGACAAAACATAAAACTACATCTCTGAGGAAGCAACAACAACAAAGGCAGGTAAGGCAAAGAGAATGACATTTTTCAAAAGCCTGTGTATGTGACACATACAAGTATCTTTCAGGTTTTTGTAGAATGTAATACATCCACTCATTTAAAATAAAAAATTTGAGGGGGGAAAAAGTAGGATAGCCCCAGCAGTTCTAGGGTATATCTGGTTGGTTATTCTAGCATTAAATGCAGAAAACACAATTTTTCCTCCCAGAAAATAAATATTTTTATGACCAGTGACAAAACAACAAATATTTAATATTATCACATTTTGTTCTACTGTAAATATTTTTATAGCAGCTATAAATATTTCTTCTTTCTGCTGGGACCTGAAAATAATGCCTGTATATGTTATTTTTGCAAGGCTGTTCAACATGTTACATTCAGGGACACATTGATTTACAGGTGCTACCTACACAATATTGTTTACTTCAATGACACACATAAAATAGGTATTTGGCCTAAATTAAATACAAAATATGTATCTTACCAGACACATAACCACTTATTGATGCAGTATGCCAACACAGTAAAGCTCTTGTATGCAAAAGGACAGTTTGAATAGTTCAGTTATTAATAATTTTTTAGTATGCAGAAATGAATCAGTGTTTTCACTTCAGGTGACTTCTTAATCAGTGATGATTCAATTAATTAATCTTTCTGTAGATACAGCTTGAATGCAAGGTATCAGCCCAACTAAATTCCCGAGGTAAACAACCTCTCTAATTATTATTCTGTCACAGTGAAATTAGGGTATGTTGCAAAAATAGTTCACAGAACTGCATAAGAAAAGAATACTTCAATTGAACACAAAATAACGTAGAAAATAAGAAACAAACAGAGGGTGAAGGGTCTTGGATTATACAGACACAAAACCGAAATGGTTTATCACACAACTATAAATAACAATCATCTATATTTTGATTTGTAAAGCTGTTTCTAATACTAAAAAGCAAAGCTGTTATACCACATTTAGAACCTCAGATGGCTCTAAACCATAACTGGGCAGAAGTGGCAATTGCTTATTACAGAAGGTCATACAGGTCTGCTCTGAGAAGTAACTGTGAAAATAGGGGTTTACTTCAAATTTGTTTAGTTTATGAGATATTGTTTATCCCACAATGGGCTCTAAAGATTCCTTATCACTAGGAGAAAAATCACATAATGTCAAAATCACATTTTCCTTGGCTTGCAATCTGACTAACACCAACATCATGCTGCCTTCTAACATCACCCACTGGCCAAGAAGTCTATCACTGTGGTGGGAGGCTGCAGGAAGGGGCTGACAGGAACCCTTCACAAAATTCCACAAGGATGCATGCAGAGCCTGGTACTTGGGATGAAGTCTCCCTTGCAATGCTAGAGGCTGGGAAATTCCTGGGTGGGGAGTGGCTCTGCTGAAAGGCACCTGGGGCACAACAAGAACAGTTCTCCACTGCAGTATGTTACCATACCTTCAATCCAAACAAAAGTCACATTTTTTCAGAGCATGTTATTGTTTGCTTTTTAGTTTAAGCAGAGTACTAGAATAATTTATAAGCTATTAGAAGTCTTTTACAAAAAAAGTTATGGTTTTGGCAAGAGTATTCCACATTATTGCAACATGCATCTGCTTCATTCAATATTGCTGAAGTAAAAACATATTGATGCAATACACCTACCTTACACCTAAAATAAGACTTGCTTCTCGCCTACTCATTTTCTGTTCAAATCCTCCCTTATAGTACGATGAAAGACTCTAAAAAGAAGAAAGGGGAAAAAAAGCAATAATTAGTTCATGTACAAGGTGCCAGGAACTAAACTGTAGTTATATGACCTTATTCAGAGCAGTACATTCATCTATAATTTATTTTGAAGGCCTGGAATGACTGGAAAACCAGATAATATGAAAGGACTTCTCCTGAGTGATAACACATACAAAAAACAACTTAGAAAAACCTACCTTTTTTTTCACAATCTTCTACTGTTAATAAGAGATATTAATAGCTACAACCATTGAAATCCTGCCTCCAGGAAGAAAGTCCAGAATCAAAGTACATACTAGCATACAATGGTACAGTGCATTCATCAGGGGGGGCATGGGAGGGAAAGTAGGATAATTGCTGAGGACAGCACTGGTACCATCACAATGACAAATGCCAAAAGTGACAACATTTTGGCATCCATGGATGTTAGGGACAATCACTCCAGATATTTCTATAAAGCAAGTTGGCAAAAAACCCCAATAGATATAAGAACAGATTTGATGTGAAGGAATGCTACTTCAAAAAAAGAGTATAATGAGTTCTTTGAAGGAATCCTAAGAAACAAGAAAAAAAAAAAAAAAGAAATGAGAAAAATAAACAGAAAAAAAAAACCCAAGAAAAAAAGAAGGCTTAGCATAAAGCCACAACCTCTATTTCAGGAAGCCACTGAGCTGGAGAACACTGGAAAATAGTCAAGTATGTAGGGAAATCTTAAGCCTTTACATCCTTCCGTCAAAACTAATGACTGACAACTATTAGATGCATGATCTGGGGTTAATTTTTTTTAAACTCATTGTCATATGAAACTTTATCCACTGTTTCAAGAAGGGAAGAAAAAAACAGGGGGAAAAGAACATTAAATAGGATATGGAGATGAGAGTAAATCATTATAGGTACTGTCACAGAGAATGAGTTGAAAGTGTATTTGTCAACCATAAATCTATTTTAAATTATGAAAAAAACCTATGGAACCATCATTGATGGTTAGCAGTGACCACAATGTGAATGTTTCTTTAAGTCCCAGAGGCAGCAGATGTAGCTCCAAGCCTTGGCAAACTGGCACACAGAAATCACTCAACAAGACTAAAGTCTTTTACTCAATGCAAAATCTATCAAAAAAATAAAGCTTCTTTTGTTGCTATCAAAGGGAAGTCTGGCCTGAGAGCTGGGGCTATGTTTAAGTATTCCCTCTAACACCAAGTAAAATGTGCCTGGCCCTTGAAAAAAGACTCTTCTCACTAAATAAAGTCATTCATATTCAGTGAGAATTTTGCCTTATGTCTACACAAGCTCTCTTATATAATTTCAAAACCATTATATCATTTAAGGGGCTCTGTCTATGATATCTAAGAAAAGCCTTTAGGTTTAGGAGACATATTCCCCCAAAAGCATGGTTCAGAAATACTTCACCTATTGCTATATAAAGTCACACGTAACCACAGAAGAGATTTTTTTAGTGTGTTGTTATTGTCCAAAACAAAAAGTGGAACAAAGTAACCACTACTGTAACACTACAGGTATCAGAGCTGAAGGAAGTGTGGACATGCCATGCCAACAATGAGAAGCTGTGGAGGAGCCACTTCTGTAACTATGGGGTAACACAAACCAGGTCTGGAACAGTGCACATGGCCATGACAGGTTAGAGGGTGCAACACTAAGGGAACACACTGCGCTTCTCTGGTTCTCTGAAAGGAAATTATGTCAATAATTTAATTAACAGGTAAGACCCTTGAAGAGCAGAACTGCACAGAAATTTGCAACAATACCAACAATTACTACAAGCAAAAGAGAAAAGCATACTTTAATGCTCTCTGGAAGTTTTTCCAGAAACATTTGCTCCCAAAGCAGTCTAGGTGCAGAAGGTTTCCTCAATTCTTCTCTGCCCTTCCACTCTGACATACAACTCTAATGCAGGAGAACACTAGCTTGCTATTAATGTAGAGAAGAGCAACATTTGAATTTAACACAGCTTGTCTCTGTTCTTGGTAGACTTCATCTAAAACACTATTTAAAATGAAAGACTAGGGAGAGACGGCAGCAAGCTTCCATTCAGAAATATTTTTTCATGTTTTTAAAGCCTACTTCCTTGACACTGTTCTAACCTTAGGAAGCCTCGGTTCATCCCCCAGAGGAAAGAAAAAAGAAACTCTGTACCCTGTGTCCTGTCACACACAAAAGGTTTGTTGAATTGGTCGCCACGAAAAAATATTTTCTTCTCATAACTGAAGGATGTAAAAACAATAATCAATTCTTAAATTCAGATCTCCATCCTAAGCAGAATTTAAAACAAAAGGAAATTACACATAAAGGCATTTTTTCCGTTGGTTAGAAAAAAGAGGAAAAAACACTGAGACTTCATTTTAGGCAACACGTAGGCAAATTTCTAGTTCCCTAATGAAAGCACTTTTGCATCCTACTCAAACTAAAACATTTTTTTCCTAGTTGTAAATTCTAAGTAATGCCTGGAAAGATATTTTTCTGTTATGAGAACTCCTTGATGAGCAGGCAGTTGTAGACACTTGATTATTTATTAGCTCCAGCAATTGCAAAGAAAATTTTGTACTGGAAAAATCATTGAAATGAGCTCTTCGTTCCTTTGTACTATTTGGGGGAAGGGGAGGTGGTACCACTTAATTTACTTAATTTCCTTGCACATTATTACTGTTTAGCAATTTATTTAAGTCCTCCTTTCTGAACAAATGCTATTAATAGGTTTGGGGCATAGAGAGGGACAGAAAATGGCTGCACTTGCTTTGCAAATATTTATTCAGTCTTGCAAATCTTCACAAAAGCAACCAAATAAGAAAATCCAATGCACAGGGACCATGACATCTTCAAGGTACTTTTTCTTTCGTAGTACAGGGAAAGCATAATCACTGTTTCCATGCCAGTTAAGAGAGTGAAAACACCAAAACTGTGACCATGCATTACATTACATGGAGTAGTGAATTTTTCTGAAAACTATATGTTGCTGTTCCAGGCCCAATACAGTCCTCCACCAAAAAGGGAGCAAACACTGGAGGGAAAAAAACCAAACACAAAAAACAAACTACAACCACAAACTATTAGAAGCTGTGATATAATATACAATTTTGCTAATATCAACTTTAACTTCTTTAACTTCAGTTAGAAAAGAAATCTTATAAAATGGACTGCATTGTTCTCTACAAACTTTGTTTTCAATTAAGGACAAGAGAGACAGTTGCCACCCTTACCTCTCAATTCAGACCTCCATGAGTCTGAGCAGAATCAGATCCAATAAAGGAAATACAGCAAGAAAACCTAATGATGTTCTACAGAAGACATAATTTTCTAATGGAACACAGAGTTTCATGATTGTGGGATTTGAGTATTTGGATAGTTCATTTGGCCCAGAATTTCTGTGTCTATCTTCAATATCTTCCATCTATCTGTCTTTCAATTCTCAGTATCATAGATTCCACAAAGAAAGCTAATGAATGCTACTGAAGTACTTGCTTCTTTATTTCACACTTTAAGGAAATATTAATAGTATAACTAATGGCACTAATTCTGAGGAAGAAAAGCCAAATAACTACTTAGAGCTATGAATCTTCTACTGGCAACACTCTTCTCACTACACACAGAAACAAAACAGTGTCACTGACACCACTGACAAAACTACACTCAAACTAAAACACCATTTCTGTGGGAGCAACCATCATGACTTGCCATAGAGTGGAAATGACAGCGTTTCCTCTATTGTATTTCTCCATTGAAAGAAAGATGGTAGAAAACTTCAAGACTAAATTACAAAAGCATTTATAAATACATATTCTTAAATATGAAGTGACTGTCTTAAATGAGATGTAAAAATTCAGAATAAAGGTTTTACTTGCCTCTGCATACTATTCTGACTAAAAGATGAATGCAGTTGTTGACTATACATGTTACTTATTTACGTAAGTAAATAGGAAGTGTAAAATCCTCAAGATACAGCAAGCAGCATTTTAAATGATCACTTCATAATTGCTCAGCTTGACCTTTCCCAAGTCATTTACCAGTGAGCAGACAGAAAAAATAAACTGCATCTGTATTACCTTGTTTGGTTGGGAGGGACCATCAACTGTGACTTCTACTGCAGAGCAGGAGATGCATTGTAAATGGAGGAGGAAGAGTAGGGGCTTACAGAGGGAGGCAGCTAGCTTTTAAACAGTCAGCTGCTCACAGACTCTCAAGAAAAAGAAGGCCATGAGGGACAAAGTTTCATTCTGGAAAGCTAGACTAAGCACTGAAAATTATAGGGACCAAGTTAAGTGCCTTCACCCTAGAAACCCAGCAAAGTAAGACTGAGCCCAGACACTGAAGGTCATGAGATGGCACGGGTAGAAGTACCAACTGCTTGGCAACCTTTGTCAGTACAGTGTAAAGGGCAATAAGCTGTCAAGAAACGTGATGCTGAGTATAATTCACAAATTATACTCAGCAGCTTCATATTCCACAAAGTCATGTGAAACTACTAAAATAAGCAGTTTGCAGAATAAGTACTTATATAGGACCTTTGCATTTAATCTTTTCTTTATTGTTTCAAAGAAAATAATCCATTGTTAAGGGGAGAAGAAAAAAAATTAAAATATAATCTGAGAAAGTAGTAGCTGTAGAGTAGCAAAAATAAAATAATCCTGGCCAAGAATTATACAAGGATCTTCAATTTGGACCATGGTTGTAGAAGAAAAATATTATCACTATCCTCTCACAAATATAAAGCCAGAAAATACACACAGTAAGTGGCAAACAGGAAGAGAGTTTTTACTGTCTCCAGTAGATCTCACACTGAAAACTTGTACTTTCAAGTTCAGAAATAGAACAGCAGAAGAGATACCCTACTGGAAATCAACACACGATTGTGGGTAGAAAGGCAGGATGTGAAAGCAGACAGAGGATACTGCTCCAGGGACTAGGAACACTTAGAATGCAGAAGCTCCTGGTTTGCTCTTTATGGTTGTTCATGAATTCTGCAGGACTCAAAGTCACTGAGGTAAAAATGAGATAGGTCTGTAATGAGCTTGGCTCAGTCAGTATTGAGGGGTGCAGTTTCCTAGGAACAGACACCTCTCCATGCAGCAGCATGTCACATTTCCATGTGTTAAAGACTCACTGCATGCTTTCTTATGTGAATGTATCTGAATTTAGATTCTCTAGCCTATATCTACAAATGGATAGAAAAAGAATGGCTAGAGTAAAACAGCTAGGGAGGGAGGGAGGGTGAAGACTGAAGCACTCCATATTCTGAAGCCACATGTACTGCCAGCTACATCTAGCAAGTCTGCAAGTCAGCCTGTATCTGTATCATGTGAAAGCAATTTAATTCACAGTATCTAAAGTCCCCTCTGTTGTTTTGGCAGGCAATATGGGAATATCTCAAAAAATTTTTTTTTGAAATAGGAAAAAAATTTGACATTGGTCTCACAACAGCAATGCAATAAGAGCAACAGAGAGCAAAAAAACTTTTCCAGGAGCACTGTTTCTGGCTGAAACACATGGCAAGCAAACACAAATGTGGACCAGCCCCAAGAGGACAGTTGAATCTCCTCCCCAGGAAGCTTGGCTTGATCAAGCTTGTACCTTCAGCTCAGGAACACCAAGTACAGATGGCAAATGAATTTGGACCGCAGTGTCTGTCTAGACAGACTCTGTGCTGCAACTGGCCTAACATCAGTAGGTACAATGCCAATATCATGTTGTTTAAAAACTTACCTTTAGTATATTTTTCAGGAAATAATAATATGCAACAACTACTCCCTGAACATGCTCACCTATCAGCATCATGAAGGGAATAGCATTCTTTTGCTGTGGGTAGGTGTACACTGAATATGAACTCTGAAGGAACACAAGCAGACATCTATCTCATTGGGAATTATTCAATCAAACAGGAATGGAACACATGTATTTATTTACCAGAGGAAAACATAGCCACTGAAGCAGTAAGTAAATGCTCTCAAATATTCCCTGCATATGCATCCCATACAACATTCTACTTCTTGATTTTTTACCTCATTATTGTATTTTTTAACACGTACGAAAAAAAACCAAAGAACAAACACCTGGTTAAAAGTTCAAATTTGCTGGGGAAGAAGAAAAAAAAAACTCATATGTTAACCAGCACACAAGCTCTCCTATCTCCATGGCAACCCATCCTAGAAGTTCATCAATTTGTCTTCTTGATTTTTAACACTGTATCTAAAAGACTAAATTCTTTCACTTTTAGCTGCTGGAAATGAAACTGAATGTCATCACTGTGCAATATTTAGGAATTAGTGACATTCTCACAGTGCACTTGAACAATTTATCTTTACACTTACTAGTAAAGGGTTCCAAAACAAGGAACATCAGAAGAAAAAACTGCAACTGTTTATCAAACTCATAAACATCTTTTGATACAGCTTTATCCATAGCAATTTAAAATACAGAAGACAACATGCCAGAACTCACACAGTAGGGAGCAGCCCTACCCTGGGAAAAAAATTATCTACCTGGCACTTTACTGTATTTAACATACATGTCTTCTTTATGGAAACTTGAAATAAAAAATCATAATTTTAGCATAAAATAGTATCTAAACTTACAGAAGTTGAAATCCTCTTTGCTGCTTCTGTAATTGTCTGCTCCAATGGTTTCCAAACTCGGAAAGCGTAACGACCTAAAAAAGATGGAGGATAAATGAAATATTCACTAAAATGCAAAAAAACACCCCACAAACAAGCTCCAACTTATGCTCATCAGTTTATAGTGGAAAGAATTTTGTTTTTAAAAAAACACAACCTATTGGGAGAGGGAGAAGAATTTTAGTACACTACATCTAAAAACCTAGTCATGGACTGCAAAGACCCATTGTGTTTACTCACTATTTAACTCACTAAATAAATAGATTTAAATACATTTCAATATGATAAATTAAGATATCTGCCTTGTGAACTTTAAGAAAAAGGGCGGTTTGAAACATTAGCTTTGGGTATACATTATTTATTAAATACTCTTCAAAGGTTATGTCTTCAAAAAAAGAAATCCATGTACTACACGCTTCTTGCTGTGATGCTGTATGCTTAATTACACACCTTGTAAATACTACATTTTTAATTTTGTTAGAAAAAGACTATCTTCTGGGATTCAGAGCCATTCAACTCTCCACTAGCACTGAATGTGTATAGCTAGAAAAGAATAGAGGGATTCCTGTAAGGCTGTGTTCCCAGAAGAACAAAGCAGCTCTATCAACACCAGAATCAAGATTTATGCCATGTTACTGGAGGATTTTCCATGTAAATCCTCTCTCCCCAGTTATTGTTTTAACTATTCTTTAGCAATGTAACTCAGTGATACACACTGGAAAAGCTATTTATCAAATGTGGCTCTGCTTCATTCAAATAGCATCTTGCATTCATTCTTACAAAACATATCATGTCTGCAAGTTTTAGCAATCTAAGCCTGTGCCTATGCTAAGACAGGAGCCAAAAACACATTAGACTATCTCTGTTGAAATGTTGTGAGGTACCATTACCTCACTCTCTTCTTAATGCTTTCTGTTAACCATTATTTAATGTTAAACTCATACCCTGTCTTCAAACTAGAACCTATTTTTCAGAATAACAAACAATGCAGATGCAAAGAGTTCAGGTAATAAAAAATGTAGTATGGAAACAGTTAGTATGATAAATCCCTAGTCCATAAAACCTTTTATTTTCTTCTATTTCAATTTGTCGAGCATCACCTCCACATCACAGCATCTTGTTGCAGTCTTCTGTACTAAAGGGCTTCTACACTGCAATATGTTACTAAGTAAATAAACTTTTCACCTTTCATTTTGCAGACAAAAAGCAGATGGAGCATTTTAGCTGCTGTCCATGAAATTACATTATCCAGCTTTCTCCACCTTTTTCAAAAAGAATTTTGGAATTTATTACTTTGAAGGTGGACACAATTTTCCACAGTACTTTCAAGCAACCTTTCCACTTTCCACTATTTCAATTCAACAGAACTTCATTAACCCTTTCAGAAACTGCAGCTCACTAAGTGAGAGTTCTGCCAGTAATTTACCTTACCTGCAAATGCAACAGTTGCAATGCCAAGTCCAAGTGCTATCATAGTCCTGGCCTAAAGCAGAAAAACAGGAATCAGAAAAACATGTGAATTCTAATTTGATATATACACACCTTTTACTTTAACAAGGAGCATTTCTGATGTCTGATGTGGACATTTCAGTTTCATCACTTTCATAGCTTATAAATAAGTTCTCTATTCCACAGACTGTTAGATTTTATAGTTCAGTCCCATTAACCCCCACCCCTGTATCAGGTTTAACTTGAACTACCAGCTAGCAAATCAGTGAACACACACTGAAATCAGCTCATAGCATGCCCTGATAAAAACACAAGGCACATAACTATACAGGATTATTTGAAATTACTTGTGCAGTCTAGTTCAACACGGTACATAACAAAGTATCAGTTTACTACAAAAACATGAAGATCTAACTCAAAACTCCCATATCAGGTGTATGTATTTTCCTACACAGTGCTTGAAAAAGTCAGGCACTTCAAGAAGGACAAGAAGTATTCCTATGCTGATCAAGAAGCTGATGAAAGATATGAAGTAAACCTTGAAGAAAGGACTGCCTTCTCACATGCTTGCAGAATTCAGGAAGGGTAACAAGCTGTCCACTTCTGAAAAGCCCCTATGCAATCTTTGAAACAAAGGAAATAGTCATCTGCAGCATCACCTGTCTTATCATACAACAGTTCAATAATGCCTTGAATTTCCCCCCGGGAAACCTGAGAAATCAGATTAGGTTTATCTTGAATTCAAAACATAATGACAGTGAAAATGCTTTTATCACCAGACTGTCTTTTCTATATATGACTTACTTCCACAATTACTCCATAACTGGTTTATACGTTTTATACAAGCAATTCTGACAGAAGGACTTAAAGCTCCAACTTCAATGTGAATGCCCTAGTAACTGCATCTGGAACCCAGGTGCCTTTACCACTAAGATTTCTGGGGCTAAAATACTTTGGTTTTGATTGTACCCAACCTCATTTCTAGACTGTGGCAGCAGGGGAAGAGTACAGAAATACTGTTTTCAAAGCCTTCCTAGAGCTGTCTGAATAGGGCCTAGATGATGGGTTGGCAACTTGCCCAGAAACACGCAGCTGTAGGAGATGCAGGCGCTGCCCTCATGCCCAGTGGCTCTTACATTTGGCTCTGAAAGCGAGTGGCTGTGACTGCTGCCCGTAGCACTGAGCTCAGCACAGAAGAAGCTCAGCCTCCTCTGAGGTCACCAGCAGAAGCAGCTGTATTCCTCTGGATCTAGCTGCAGATTTTAACAAAGTACCTACCTGAGAGGGGATTGTTGCTTTAGATATTTTTCTGTATTACATTTTAGTAATTTAACTCTTCCATTTCAGTGTAGTCTTCAGTTTCAATACTAGCATTCATTTCTGAATGTAAAAATAATGTAGTAGCTTTATGTCTGTTGTTCCTTTCGGTTCCACAAAATTTCCTCTCATCTTTTCCCCATGAAAATGTTAAAGCATGTTATCTTATATGGCAGATGATGTAAAATTGTGAAGCATACAGTTCATCTCCTCACTAAACTAAAACTCTTTTCATTTCTTCTCACAAATCAGTTTTCCCAGACTCTCAATATTCAAACATTAAAAAAAAAATTCCTCCACTTAGACACAAACCTCAAACAGCCACCTTTCTGGAAATATCCTAACCCTATAGGAATTCTATATTATTCTGTCTTGTGGTTTGTGACCATGGATTAATATTAAAGAGTTTCCTTGACTTATTCAGACCGACAGCAAGAATCTTTTACTAAGTGGTTACAGTCAATTAAGAGCTCAACAATGTGTGAAATAGATCATGCTGGCAAAAAAAAATAAATTATTAGCCTTTGATTCTCCAAATTAAGTTATACTTGCTTTGCCACCAAAAAGGTGGTTTAAGTCAGTAGTTTACAAGACATGCAGGTTACAGCAAGGCATTAGCAGCAGACACCTCATCACAGGGAAGACCAAGCACAGCGACCAGACTAATAAATAATACCAGGATTCTGTCAGTTCAGTGCAGAAGCAGCTGAAGTGTTTTTGCACAGTAATCTGGGAGAACAATGCAGAGACCCCAGAGGGCCTTTGACAGTCGGCCATGTCCACTGGAATGCATTAGTCCAATCTCTGTGGAAAGCACCAGGAGTTGGTGGAAAGCTACTGTTGCTGGGAGTACAGCAGCTAAAAACAAACCATGGCAGCAGCCCTGAATAGGAGCAGGATGCAGGATCAAGGGGAAAATAAAGACAAGACAGAAAACTTGGTAAAACCGCTACAAAGCTCAAGCCAGAGAGGAACGAAAGACTGTCCACACATTTAAGTGAGGGACAGGCACCATAAAATCTGAGAAATACAGGTTTACGGTAACTCACCTTATTTGTATTTTGAGCATGTTAGAGAAGAGTCACTCGCCACATCTTAGCAAAGAAGTGATAATTTGACATGCCAAAGCATCCTGCATGTTTGTTATGGTGTGAACGTATCATAACTACACACATGTGATAAAGACGGAATTTGAATCAGTGTGAGATTGCAAGGTTGGCCTTTTTCTTGTCATAAAAGCAGTGGCAACTTCAAGTACTAACCAGTAAATTTTTAAGTCCAACTTGACTCAGTTTCCTTTTTTATACTCTCTCAATTCAGTTGAATATTTAAAAGAATCAGTCAAGGTTAGCCTGGTGCTTTGAAATGTAAAGTCCAAAGGTTTAATTAAATGCACTCCTTTCACGTCAATATTAAATGAAAGCAACTCGGTCTCTCTGTGGAAGGCAGCAGTTCATTTACAGCATGCTAATACAACTACCACCATGATCATTTTTGTCTCCTATTGCTTGAAATTGCATTTCATAAGGGATAAATAAATAAATACATGCACACTGACTTTCAATTATGACAGAATTGACCTCCCCCCCCCTCCAAAAATGCTGTTAAGAAACTTCCAAGATGTGGATTTTAAGTGAAATCATTATGTTACAATCCAAGAGGGAAAAATAAAGAAATAAAATATTAAAAACTAACATCTGTCCCTTTCTTTATTCAATGAATCAGCTCCCAAAGGTTAGTCATCAACCCCATGCTATTCTGCTGATCTCAGTATTTTAATTTTACTATGTAATTCAGTCTTCAGTAACAAATCCTCCTAAATGAAACTAATGAAAAAGTTATGCTAAATCTGTAAAACCTGAATTTTCTTAATCCTTTTCAGAAATTAGTATAAGAAAACACAAGCATTAGAAAGGCAACTGCCAAGACCTGATTTACCTAAGCATTTGGCAAACAAAAGAGCATAAAGCATATTAATTAACATACAGTATGTTAGAAACAGAGAATTTCTGCCTATTTCTTTAAGATTTAATTCTTCAGTAGCCTTAATGCCTTAATTTTTTTAGCAGAAGAAAGAGGGGAGGATGAGATAATTATTTTTGCAAATCCCCAACCAATGGTGCCCTTCTAACTGAAACATACTCAAAAAAATAAAATTACATATGAAGTTCTTAGCATTAGAGTTTCTTCCAGGGAGTAGAAAAAAGTTAAATTTACAAACAAAATGAGAATTTCAAATGCATCATTTTAAAACTTCAGCACAACACTCTTACATCTGCCAATGGGCTGCAAATGCTAATGCTTTCCAAATGTTAAAACCTATCTGCCTGCATATGATTTGGATTTTATACTGGTTCTTCTACTACAACTAGTGGAACACCCTTCTCAGTCAAATGAAAAATATTTTGCTCTCCTCACTACTAAGTTTCACACACACAGCAGGAGTTCTACAGTCTTTTGCCTCAGAAACCTACAGTGAGCAGAACAGAATAAAAAGCACAGAGAAAATAATAATTTGTTTTCATGGGTTGAATGGCATTTTGCTTAATTGTGGACCAGCAAAATAGGAAGTAGGTACCTATAGTCAATTAAATGCACACAAGTATAAATTGCTTAACTAAAAATTTTTAAGGTTTGGTTTTGTTTTGTTGTGTGTTTTCTTTAGTTCTGTACACTGCTAAGAAGTAGGATACACAAGTATATTAATTAAATGTACAAAAATATTTCTGAAAATAGGTATTTCTTTAAATAAAAATTCTTGACTGGAAATATAAATTATTGTTTGGTATGGAAGATAGAATAACGCTTCTGCTCCTCATAAGAGTAGTCTGAAAATAGGTATTTCTTTAAATAAAAATTCTTGACTGGAAATATAAATTGTTTGGTATGGAAGATAGAATAAGGCTTCTGTTCCTCATAAGAGTAGCTACAGTTTATTGGAATACTGCTCTAGAGCAAACCACCATACTAACACTATATGGAGGCAGAGCTATTGTGAAGTGGGATTACATCATAAACTCTGTGCAACCGATTTGATTTCATAATCTAGTGTTTCCCCTCTAGACTTAACCTTCCTATGAAATTTAATTGGTTTTCCAACAGTGAATTAAAAGTAATTTCAGCTAGGTGCTGTTCTCCATACTGACACAATTCTCACATCATTTTGTGCCCTTTAATTTCCAGCAACCTTTTTGTTTTGTATATAAGCCTATGACTACAGTTCTGGATGGTTTTTCATAGGAAATTGAACCAGAGCAAGATTCACTAATAGAACAATTACCATAAGTTATTCAAATCAATCTTCTTGTGTATGTACTAATTAACAAAGGCTCCTGTGGGTGATCTTTGAGAACAGACTCCTCACGCTTCCACTGCTGCTCTTCCACTGCTCCAAATGCTTTTGTAAAACAACTACAAGAGTAAACATGACCGTGATCAAGTGACTTTCAGCTAATACCCTGGACTAAGGAATAAATTCCAATAGGAAACTGTAGACATCCAGATTTCAGTCCTCTGAAGACCCACCCCAGTCTCCAGACCTCAGCAGGAATGTGACAATATTCACAACAACAAAGCAAGCCATGCTACCTCCAAATGCAACTTTTGTCCCAGATGGGTAAGCAGGCCCAAGGACTCAACAAAATTCTAGGAATTCCCTGCTACCATTCTGCAGGGAGAATGGCCATGACAATAACAAGTTTCAGAGCCAGTTTCTTAAGATTAAACATTTACTGTTAAATACACAGGAAGACTCTTCTGTGGGGAAAAAAAAAAAAGTCCTAGACTGTAGTAACAATGAATAAATAACTTAGAAAACTGTGATTTTTAAAACTGTGTTTTAAAAAAAATATTGTAGAGAAAACTTCACACACACAATTAGGTTAGGCAAGTAAGACTTTTAAGCCATTTAAAAAATGTGAAAACTTCACCATCTGGGGCTTTAAGCCGCGTGTTTTTCCCAATTCTCTTTTCCAATGGGAACTCACTGTTCCCTGAACTAGTTGAAAGTGACAGGAATGAAGAAGTGGGATAAAATCCCAGCATCCTTTCCTCTAGAGCATGATACAGCATGGAAACTTTGGAGACATTCTGCTTCCACCCAGCCTTTCCCACAGTACGAAGTACCAGATGAGAATTACTGTTCTGAAACAGAGCCCTACAAAACCTTCAACACTCAAACCTGCCTGTGGCAATAACATTTGCACAGTGGGTGAAAACACGTCAGGTATCACCTTTCCACAGCAGGGAACAAAAATTTTGGCCTTGTTTCTGAGTGCTGGGGCTGAAGTGTTTCCATGTACCCTATGGAATCCCAGCAATAAGGAACTAATGTGCATTTTCCAAACACTCACTGGCTGTGGAGCCAACCAAGGACTCTCGGTGGTGACAGACAAGGACTGCTGGCAATAACCAAGGATTGCTGGCATTAAGACGCCGTGGGATAGAACAAGATGTGGCTGGAGAGGGAGGCCATGCAGAGGCAGGGCAGCGCTTTTCCTTGCTCCAGCTGCTGGAGGTAAAACAGTTCGGTGCAGTGCAAGGGTGAGACAAAGCAGGGGACACAGACTGTACGGGGTCATCAAGGCCACCAAAGCCCCCCAAGCCCTCCAGCCTGTTTCCAGAACTGCACAGAAAGAGAGAAACCTGTCTTCTTGGCAGGGAAATCCTAGCCATAGAAAAGCATCCCCAGGCAATCCCAGGACATTTCATCAGCTGGACTGAGGCTGGAATCAGGACTGGTGATCTCCTTTACTCTTTCTCTCACTTTTCCTCTCTCTCTCTTTTTGTCTTCCTATTGCTCTTTAATTCACACCGTCTTTCCTCCCTTGCCCTTCACCCTACCCTGTACCAACACCCGCTGCCGTGTGCTGACACCGCAGGTCAGAGCCAGCACTGCCACACCAGCCGCGTAGGGCGCTAATGAAACTTCCCCGCTGAGGACCCACCGAGCGCTCAGGAGCCCCGGGTGTGCCCTCCCTCAGTAGAGGGACGCCGCTCCCGCTGCCCCCGCTGCCCCCGCGGCACCGGCCAGGCCCCCGCGCCCGAGCCCGCAGCGGAGCGCAGCACGCGTGTCCCCGCCACCCCTCACACGTGTGCAGGCCCGGGGTGCGGGCGGGGCAGGAGCCGCCTCACGGCCCCGCGGGTGCGGGTCCCGCCATGCGCTCACCAGCCCCCGGTCCAGCTCGGCTTGGCCCTTGCCGGCGCCCGTAGGGGCCCGGGCGTACTCGGCGTAGCGCAGGCCCTCGGCGGAGGCCGCGGCGCCCTCCATGATGGCGCCAGGAGGAGCGAACACTACGGGTCGGGCGGAGGGACAAACAGCGCGGCAGGACGCAGCGCGAAGGGCCTCCTCCCGCGCTGCCAAGGCCGGCGCGCCGTAACCCGGGAGCAGCGGGAAAGGAAGCGATGAGGGATCGTCGGGGCAGGCATTAGGGATAATCTGACAAATGGGATCAGGAGGGGAAAAACATTCAGACCACACGGAAATTATTCGTGCCCATCTTCAGAATACAGGAGTTCAGAAAGCGGGGGGCGGGGGGATATATGTAAAAGAAAGTATAAAGCGTAATTAACCTGGGAAAAAAAAAATCCCGCTAAAATGCGTTTTAAAATGTACATGCTTGGTTGGGCCCCAGTTGATGTCTGTATATGTTTCACTGTGTTTATGCTTTGATTCCCTGCACATGCTGCCACTTCGGATCGTAGTTCATTCACCCTTCTGGAAGGGCTCCTCACCTGCTGCCCCTGTGCAGAAGTGCCCACCGCCTTTGTCCCACGCCACAGACAGTAAAATGCCACAGACAGTAAAATGCCACCGTCAGTAAAATGCCCAGCCCCGTGTCCCCACAGCAGTGAAGCGGCTCTTCCCTTGTGCTCCTTTCCCTTCCCTCCTGCCCGGTAGTGCTGGCGATGGAACTGGATCATCTGCGGGTTGCTAAGCCGTGTGAATGGACAAAAAGAATTATCTCCTTACCTCCTATTTCAAACGACGATTGCTCTTCTGAGCATCTCTTAAGTGTCTTTTAAAATACCCTCTGTGAGCCGACCACATAGAGCATTTCATTAACCTTAGAAAGACCTATAAATTTAACTTTCTACTGAACAGAAGTCATTGGAAGTTTCATGATGATCCGTTCGTCAAGAATTGCATTCATTTTTACTTCTTCATTGGACATATAACATACAATCATGTATGATTAATTCTTTAAACCTTCAGTGGAATTGGATTTCTGAGAAACTTAACTTAAAACTTATCAATAGAAATGTCCCCAATTAATCTCTTTTTATTCATTTATTTGCATAGAACTGATGCAGAATAGTATGTCACTTACTACTTTATTGATTAGCAGACCCAGCTTAAAAAACCAATCAATTGAAAGTTTTGGAATTTAGGATCTCTTCTTTAGTTTTCCAAGCTTATCTCTGAGACCCCTTAATGGGACAGATTCTGTTCTCATTAATCCAAAGTTATTTTGCCCAAATACTACTGTTTCCTGGTCATAGCAGCCAAATTCTCCCTCCTTTATAAGTATCAAATCCAGAAAAGTATCTGCCCCTGTCAGGTGCTTGATCACCTTTGGAAGGAAATTATAATCTATGAACTGAGGAAATATTTTATGTCATTGTAAGGGTAGCAAAATTGGACTCTTGAAGACACTGGGTCGTAATATGGTCCATACAAATCCATCCAGGCACAGTCTGAGATGGAGAACAGTGCTCAAAACATCTCTTTTTCATCTCACCAGCCACACCGCTGCTGCTGCTGCTTTCTGGACAGAGAGCCGCAGGAAGCGTATGGATTACACGGGGCAAACCAGATAATCAGCACGAGGAAAATGTATCTTCTGCCAGAGTGGAACAGTGCAGTTTGTTTTCCTTGGAAGCCATGAGGGGAGGAATGAAAGCAGCTGGGTGTTTGGTTATGGTTCTCTCCCGAAGCTCCTCACCGCGTGGCACAGCTGTGTGCTGTGTTATGCACAGGATGGTGCTGGTAGAGACAATCTGTCCATTACCATTTAATTCAATCCTAAACACTGGTGTGTTCCAGCATATTGTCACTATTAATGTGTAGCAATGTTGTCCAGATTTGTTATGCCATTGAAGTTAATTGTCTGCATACGTTTCCTATAAATTATTTCCCTAACCAGTCTGTGCTACAATATTCCATGTTGCAGTCAGGATACATGCTGGATCTGTCAGGAATGAAGGAGAATCTAGAAATGGTTACCAGGTTAACTATCGTAAAATTGATAACAAGGATCCTGTGTGTCTTTGGGATTGTTACCACTGAGAATTTCCAAAGAACCTGTAAATGTAGCACCTGATCAGTGAGATCAGAATGGCAGTGCCCAGAGTTTCATCCTAAAGATTAAAGTTTCTGAGGTCAGGCAGAGAAGAGAGTATAATTGAAAGTTATCAAGGAAATCATGAGGCATATCATATAAAACTGGAAAAGTCAGTACTTGAGCCTTGCTGAATTGTCATGTGCATACAAATGAATGAAGATTAAATCCTCCCAGCTGCCAGGATTAGAAGTTGTAAGAGTTAATTCTCCTAAAAGCATTTGTATATTTAATTACCACAATGTACTATAAAAGTTAAAAAAAAAAAACATGAGCTGTGGACTTCTACTAATTTCTTTAGGTAATGGATTTGGAAACATAACACAATAAAGAATGTAATGTTCTTTCTAGACACTGTAATTGTCTGTATGACACCTTTGGTTGACTAGGTACCACAAGGTAGTATATTATATAAAATCCTAAGCTGGAACTAATCATGGCCTTTAGGAATTCAAAGAGTTATAATTATTCCTTGTAGAAGATGGTATATTTGCCAAAAAGCTCATTTATCCTTTTTGAATAAGTAAATCTATGCTGTTAAGAAAAAAGATCTATTCAAGAATATAGCAAATACTATTTTAATACTGCCAGACTTCTCAGGGACTTTTTTCCTTCCAGACATATAGCTGGAGCAATAGCTCTTAGAGATCTTTGTTTCTGATACTATTTGTGCAGTTTACTAGTTAATTTTGCCTTTTCCAATGGATTTTTTGCAGGCATTTTTAATGATTCAATTTTTAATGATTTAATAATTTTAAATTATTTAATAATTCATTTATAGTCCTGATTGTTTTTATAATGTCAGACCTTTAAAACAGCCCTGCTTTATTGTTTAGTGTTATTTATAAAGCAATATAGATATGCATAGCACTCTCCAGGCTAAAGAGCTGCTCCTAAAATATAGCAATAATCTTCAGGCACTGGACCTCAATACAGCAAATTCTGGACACCAGGTTAATTATATTTTCAGTGCTCACTTCCATTTGCTGAAGCAGTATTAGCAAAAGGAGAGGGGCACCTGCTGTAATGCTGTAATACTGTAGAGAAAGCAAGGGTCAATTTTCTTTTAGAGGGTGGAAGATGATAGTTTTTGACAGGTACCGTCAATTTCAGCTTTTTGCAATAAAATGGGAAGTGTGTGCAGCATTTTACATCTCCTAAACAGATTACCCAACACATCCACACACACGTACTTGTCAAAGCTAATGGCATTCTTTCTGCTGAACCTGACGAATTCCAGTCCTCAATCTAAACAAGAATAAATCTTAACCAAATGTTGACATTTTACCTTCCTCCTGGGGCTCCTCTCCAGGGAGCAGAGAAATTTCTTTTCTCCAGCATCCTCAGCTGTAACAATTAGTTCTATCAGCCCTGCAGAAAGTGGTCCTAATTGTACAGCAGAGTACTCAGCCAGAGAAAACATTGGTAAAGTAAAATACACCTCTAAAAATTAAATTCTTATTTTGCCATCATGGTATAACAACTCAATAAGCATTTCTAATTATAGATATTCCTCTAGGGATATTTGCCATAATTTGCCATTGCTCTAAAATATAGAGATACGTTCCTAATGATCAATTACTCAATCTGCTCTGTAGTATATTCAGTTGTGTGTCTTACCTACTTAGCCGAAATATCCAGGGAAAAAAGCTTTGTATGTGAACCCGTGAGCATCATATTCAGCTGTTGGACTAAGTGTTTTAAAGCTGATGACAAAGGAAAAAACATTTCTCCAGCAATCAAGGCCATCTGATACCATTTCCTGGCTTCTGAGAAAAATATAGAGTGGGCGGTATGACAGCTTGCCTGTCCTGGCTGTCCTTTCAAAGGTCTCCTTCAGTGTAATGCTTTAGGTTTCTACTGTCCTTGGATTAAATAAAAATCTTAGCTTTTAATGAAAAGTGTCTGTGGTTGTGGAAAAAAAAAAGTTAAAAATTCAAAACCTTAAAATGCCATAAACCAACAGTAAAATAATGAAGAACGAACAGTTGTCTTCAGGGAAGGAAAGATAGGGAACATTACATTGGTTTAATTTTATGGGGGTTTTAATACTATTTCTTTCATAGAAGACACTTTTATCCTATCTAACATTCCCAAAGAAATGATGACTTGGCTGACCCAGATCCCTTTATAGTGAGAAAAGGTCTCTGATACCTCTCATTTTTGGTATAGTTCATGATGCTGCAGAGTTGGAAATAAAGGCTCAGTACAAGTTGTTCCTCCACAGAAGTTATTTTGGTTTATTATTGCAATTTCATGAGAAACACAGGTGAGGGAGGGAATATGACGATTCTTAATATTTCACATGTCCACTGAGGAATTTTCTCAGAGCTAAAGAAAGATCATTTTCTGTCTCCCGCAAATAAAATAAAAAATTGTTTTTAATAGCTGGAGGCGACAGAGCTTTACAGACAAAAAATCTTTATTTTGACAAATGGATTTTCTCACTCCTTTTCCTGTTTTCTCCCCTATCCTAGTGGTGGGGAGTGAGGAAGCCACCAACTGTGTGAGTGCTCACTTGATAGCGAGGGCCAGTGCATTGCAACCTCAGATCCTCAGACAGGGATGTGCAGCAACTATAAATATAGCCCCTCAGATAGAATTGGCAGTCAGTATTTGGTGGGTCTAGAAAAAAATATAAATACTGAATTAAAATCCTTATGGAGGATTTGGGAAGGTTGAGATTTGGTGGTGTTTCAGGAGACTGAATACATTGGCATCCTGAAGTTTTAACGTCTGTTTAACATCTATGACACTAAATGAAACAGGGCTGGAGGCTGATCCTTTTTCCTAAACACAGCTAGTACAGGCTCATATATATGCTGCCTAAGACTAGTCTCCACTAGGCTAGAATTAGCTAAGTGGCTGGGTGCATCCTAGTGGAGGCAATATGCATGTCCTTACCAAACTCCAAGCATCATGACAGCCTTTGGTGGTGCTGCCATGATGCTGGAACTTGATTATTATTTTGGGGATATTTCAGCTAAGTGCATCTGAAGCAGTGTGAGAGCTGGGTTGCAGCCTGTGAAATGTTGTGTTTTAGCAGCATGAAACTGAAGGGCTGATGAATGATACACTGGAGTATCACAGAGAGGCTGTGGGGTGAGTTTGAGATTGCAGGGGTAGTGATGAAGAGATGTTTAGGGTGGATAAAGTAAATCTGGTACCCTAGTTAATACTGACTTTCTGGGGGTCATGTCTGGCATGAACCATCCTTAGAGCCAGACCTGGATGTTGAACTGGATAGAGTTAGTTTGGATTGTCCAAAACGGAGCTATGAAATAAATGAGCATGGAAGCAACAAAAGTGATCAAGCTTCTAGTGCTTGGGTTAATTTAACATCCCTCTTTGTCACCATAGGACACGAAACAACATGACACAAACACACTGCTATTCTCAAGGTAGGAAAAGGAAGTTTATTTTCTGACTCTAACATTTATAGATTTCCAAAAGTGACAGTGGATTGGAGGGTGAAAGGGCCACCTCTCTGTGGATAGATAGAAGGTAGGAGAATAGAGATAGTGGTGAAGGTAGTCTCACCCCTAAGGAGTTACAGCTGTGGTAATTATCAAGCATTAAGAACAAGCCTGCCCTTAATAGGCCACAGCTGGATCCAATTAGAGGGGTATTATAAAAGAGCAAGTTGGCTGGTGGAGATGTGAGATGGAGTTTGTTGGTTGTGCTGAGAAGAAGACCAAGTCAGTGCTGCGAGGTGCTGCCCATGAGATATCACTGAGAAGGTACGAAACCTTTGCAACAAGATGGCAACACCTCTCCAATGACACTGGACAAACCAACAGTCTATTTCTTCTCTATAAAAGAATGCAAAACAATAAGTTGTTTACAGAAAGTGTGTGAGAAAGTTTGCTACAAGAATGCAAACATCAGAAGGTTTAGAAACTCTTAAAAAATCAAGGCAACACCTCTTTTTTAGCAACATAGATATAAATATTTAGATTCTAGAGTTACTGTTTTCAGCCAAAAGTTTCTAAATTTCAACAGGAAAACGACACTAGATCTGAATATTGCATAACATTTTAGGATTGAAGACACAGCAGCAGTGGCCACATTAATTATAATCAATTTTTGTAATTAAATATGGGTTATTAAGACATCAATCTGCGTGGATAAGAACACTCCAGATGTCAAAGTTGGATTTTTACCAGATAGGGTGTCTGTAGGCACAGCTGTTATCCCGCAAATCTTTGCAGTCCTCAGACATGATTTTGGCTATAATTTCTGTGCTACTTCTAGTGCTTCTTCATCTCCTGTATCACCCCTCCAGTTTTATGGAAGGGAGTAAGCTTTGTGCTTGCTTCCATTTGCCAGCACCTTGTACATTAAATAAATACATATATTTATTTTTGAACAGAAGTGATGCAAGGGACTATGCACCAGTTCATCCCTTTACAACACACTGCCCTTGCACTCCAAAGTCTGCAGAACGATTTGTGTGCAAATGAAGATCATCTCTGCTGCAGAGCATGTTAGGAGGGGGTGGGGGAGGAGAGACCATTGGTGCTGCCTTTTTGGAGCAGCCCTAGGAGGTGCATCCTTGTGGATATAGAAGCTCTGGGAGGTGAGCTGCTGGTGGCAGGGTTCCAAGGAGCATTACAACCACCAGGCTGCCGGTGGCTTCCATATGGCATTTTACTTTACTCCTTCCCCTGCATGTGTGGAGAGTGCTGTAAGGCATAGGTGGTCTAGGCAGTCAGGAAACCTGGCCAGAGGTGTGTTTTTAGTGCAGCTTGATCAGCTGAGGACAAAGTGATGAGATCTGCGTGAGTGGAGCTGGATCTCCTTACTTCTGCTGCATTAACAGCATTGCTAGTTCCTTTTTGCTTGGGTTAGAAGTTGCTGAACATATTTTATTTACTAATGATATTAAAAATATTGCTGGTTCTCTCCAGCCCTGCAGATCCCATAGATACACTACTGGTTAGATGTGATCATTCAAAGGATCTCCATTTGCAGTAATTGGATGACGTATTTGTCCTCTATTCAGGTAGAATTAGGAAAGTCAAAAAAGTTTTCTGATTGAGCAGAATTGAAAGGCCAAATTGGAATTTTTCAGGACCACTACCTTAAGATTTATCTGAAGGTTAGTTTTTAGCTTCTCTTTCATCTTTCCTTGTAAACTCATGCAAAATAGAAACCAAAAACCCCCTTGTGAGAGACTGGACTATGACTCAAAGCAATTTCCCATTTGTGAAGGCACCAGGGTTCTTTGCTAAGACCAGCTTTGCAGCTCACCAAGAATGAGATGAGATTTTGGGTGTGCAATGACAAATCTCTGGTCTGCAAAAGACAGAAGCGATGAACTTATAACTGCTAGAGTCTACACACTGGGCTTTGAGGCTGATAAGAGGCAGAATTTGTGGGAACAGGATGGTGCTTTTCACCATGCCAAATTGCCCACTCTGACACACAACCCCTGCTGATGGATCAAGACCTTCAATCATCACTTCGGCCAACAGCAAACACTCAAGTCTCATTGTAAATCCAGGGGTGGTAGTTATAGATCTTCCTTTCTTTTTCTTTCTTCTTTTTTTTCCCCCCTTGCACATTTTAAGTGATATCTTTATGCTTTCATATTGTCATATTACTATAAATAATAATAACCAAAATGGCTATATAGCTGCTTTCCATTGCAACCAAACTGTTTATATATGTGAAAAGTGCATGTTAGCCAGCTCTATGCATGTATTTTCTATATATATTATGTTGTATTGATTAGCAGTGCTGTATTAACATTTTAATAGTATGGTAAATTTAGTTTTGTAGTTAAAATAGAAACTATATATGGGATATTTTTTTAAAGAGAAGAATGAGGTACTCGCACTGAGATAGGAGCCACAGGACACCTACATTTTTCAGAGAAAAAGAATTTATTGCTCCCTTATCAGAAGAAACTAACTTCTTCCTGGCTTGCTCATTAAAAGGAGGAAGTTGACACTGACCAGACAGAATCCTTTGTTTGAATGGAATTTATGCATCATGTATGGGATGTATGAACATGCAATAGGCTGTCGCATTTAAGGGTTAGTCGTCTGTTAACATGTGTCCTTTCTCAGGCTTATTTTGCCCAAAAAAAGGTACCTAGACTCTTTGTTTGTATTGTCTTGTATTGTCCTAATCCTAATTGTCCAAATTTGTATTAATATAATTTTATTACTATTTTAGAACCATTTTATTACTATTAAACTTTTAAAATTTTAAAAATAAGTGATTCATGTTTTTCACTATATATGTATATATATCTGCAAACACTGATCATTTGGTGTTTTTTCACTCTAATCCACCCCAAGAGATTTATTAACAAGAACCTGCATTACCTTCACCTTCAGGGGTGGTTAATAACACCCCCCAAGAGTTATTCCGTCTGTCATAGGGAAGTGCTGGGTTAAAAAAATGTCAGAAATACATGTCAGAAATATATCAGAAAAATGTCAGACCTCCCCATACTTCTGCACAAACTGTTGTCACCTGGTTTATTAGGGCAGATCAGCTTTGCTGTCACCCTGTGACCCCTGTCTGCCTCGGTGCTGTGATTGAGGAGATGAAACTTGAGCTTCAGCTGGTGGATGCCTCAGAAACCAGTACATGTATTGGCATGCCTGCCAGCCCAAAGTTCAGGAAGGGGAGGAGTTTATCAGAAATCGAAACTGATTTCTGGCAACTCCAAAGTTTTGAGTGTTCCCCTAGCTGTAGCACCAATACTAGTTTCTGTCAAGGCAAGGTACTTGCAAAACCATGTCTGGGGTTGGAGGATGGAGGGAAGGCAGCAGGTACAGGACAGCTACTGCCTTCAATACTCCATCTTCCTCTCAGGGTAACCCCTGGCATGGCAACAGTGAATCAGAGAAGGGTGAAAACACTCAGGAACTGACGGCATCTGGAGGGAAACAAGGAGGCCAAGCATCAGCGCACCAACAACAGCAAAAGCAGTAGTAAGTAACGAGGAGCCTGATTGTGATTTACTTGCATTGGGTGCCTGTTCTCCAGCTTACTCGAGGTGTACACCTTTAAAGGTGTACTGGCTTTCTCTTACAAGAGAGCCAGAAAGTGGCTGAGCACATAAGCGGCATGTTGTCATCTCCTTGGAGCTTCCTACATGGGACCTGAGTTGTTCTGGCAGGCTTCTTGACAGCATGGCTTACACCCTGTGCCACAGCAGTGGCCAGGTCTGTACCTTGGATACTGGTGTGCATGGTGTCTGGCATCTTTTTTCAAAGTTTCTTGGCACTTCTTTTCAAAGTGAAATTTCAAATCTGGTTCTAGCTCCCTGTTTTCTGTATCTCCTAATATTTCATCCTGGAAAGTCTAAAAATACTTTGGCTTAAGAGATAGATGTAGGCTGCATTCCAACACTGCTCTGAATGCAGTCAAGGACACAGAACAGCTTCCAGGAACTTCATGCTCATAAAACTAAAACCAAAGCTTCAGCATTTGGTGTTTTATTGGAATCTATGCTTAGTCCCTCTCTTGCTTTCTAGTGACTATCCTGAGATAACTTGTACAAGCTGTGTCTTGCAGATACAATATAGAATAGAAATTGAAAGCTCTGTACGTGTTTGTGTATGTGTGTTTTATGCATGTGTGTTTAACATAAATATACTTAGATGACCATAGCTGTGTTTATTCCTTTTTACCATATGTGCTTTTTCTGAGTTCTTAGTAACAGTGCATGTAATGCTAAGATTATTGTTATTGCTATGTGCTGATTTTGCTTAGCTTGCTTCTTTTTCTTCCATCTTTGAAAGGGCAGCTGGCAAAACTGCAAACTGTTTCCTTTCCCTTCTTTCTGGGTGAAGAAGGTGGAGCCACCTCTGGAGGAAGGGGCAGGCAGCTGATGGTGAGCAGAGATCAGCAGCTTTCCATTGAAACTCATGAATGCTTGCCTGGTGGGTAGTAATAATACAGGGACTATTAAAAGCTGAGTCCCTTTAAAATCCATCAGCACTTTAATGATTGACTTTCAGAAGAGCAAACAACAATTCCTTAGTTACAGTCTATTTTCTGCCACTTTCAAATATGAAAAATTCTCTGTCTTGCCTGCCCTCACAGTGCCAGGCTTACACAGCAGAGCAAGGACAGCCCCAGTTTGTTTATGTAGCTGTGATGTGTGCATTTTGTTGCTGTTTGGGTTTTTTTTTCAGGGGGAGGAGTGGGTAGCAGGGCTAGTGGGAGTTTTCCCATTGGCATGCCTGTGTTTACCCAGTTTGTCTGGCATACAAACCTGCTGGTAAAGGTTAGGTGAATAATTAATCAGTTGGTTTGCCAGAGCTCCCTGCAGAATTGAAGGCCAGAGCACATATAATCACACAAATCCCTGTTCCCTTTATCATCTGACATGATTCTTGCAGACATAAAGCAGTTGTGCATCCACTGTAAAGACTGAGTAGTATTTTCTGCTATGTGAAAATATTTTCTCTGTGTCTTCATAAAGTTCTAACAAAGAATTAGTTCCTAAATCTTGGATGTACAAATTAAAGTCTGCATTAGTATTCAGTTAATGAGAAGAAGGATGAGGGAAAGGCAGGCTGAAATAGAAACCATGTAATATGAGTAGGAAACTAACACTCTAATAAAAAATGAAGTGAATGGGATTTGCATCCTTCCCTTTAGAAGGAGGATGCTGCCTGACAGTTAAATGGGATGAAGCTGCTTAAACTGCAATTTCTTTAACTAACATGAATTAAAGGAGAAGGTAGCACCTGAAATACTGAAACAGAACAGTGAAGATATTTATTCTTTTTTTAAAAAATTGCTTCACTAATTATTTGTTCATTTTCTCAAGCTACATTTCAAGTAAGATTTCAGATTAAAATATTTTACCAGTGATAAAGCTGACTCAATCTTTTAGCCACAAACTCATTTTAATATGACCTTTAAAATTAAAATACTGGGACACCCTCAGAATGGTCCAGGTTTTCAGGCTCTGTGATAACAAGAGCAGTTGGAGAGATGCAGTTACAGGGTGACAGTAGGAGAAAAAAAAAGCACAGACTAGCATTACTAAAGGATTTCTGGAATATGCATAGCAGAGGGAACATGAGGGGCCCAAACAGGATACCTCTGTGCCAAGCAGTGTCTCTATTCCAGCTTTTGCATGCTATTTTTTGGAAACAGACAGGGATATGATTTTGCTGCCAGCAAAGCAGGAGTTGGAGTCTTTTTGGAAGGCTCTGTGTGAATTGTTTCAGTGCAAACTCTCTGTCTCAGGCTGTGGGAGAAATTGGGAGTGGGAAAACATCTCAGGAGCATCTTATGGTCAGATTAGGGGGTCTTTTCTTTAGACTGGACACATGAAATATGTGAGGGATGTAGCACATTGCAGTCCTGTTCAGTAGTCGATATTCAAACTGGGCTATTAAAAATGCAGCGTGGGCAGCTGGTATTAGAGTTTAGTTTTGCTTTGGAAAAGCCCTTATATGATGTGTCAAGGGCAAGAAGTGACAATAAAATGGTCCTAATTAAGAAAAATACTTGTTCAAATGCAAAATTGAAGTCACACTTTGCACATTGCCATCCAGTTATACATAGAATGTGGTTTCAGGCCATGGAGAAAACAGTCACCAGAATGAGAAGAGCTTGAAACGGCTTATAATAATAATCTTGCATTTAAGTGGCTTCACTTTGTCTAAGTGCCATGAAATTAACTTGTAGAAAGTGAATTCCCAAATTGCCCCTGTTCATACCTATTCAGAAACAAAAGTCTGTACAGAAGAAAGGTGGAGGAAAGTGGGGAAATTAGAGGGTGAACTATAGCTAGTGCCTGAAAAAGAAACTGCTGCCCCCATTCAGCAGTCTGCCTTTAGCGCCTTTAAAGCTGCCAAGAATAATATTGGTTCTGGTAAAATCCATTAAAAACTGAAATTCAAAATAATAAAGCCTGAAGATATATTGCTACACAGTTGGTAACAGTCCCTCATCATTTTGTTTGAAAGGAGAGCGAACTTCTAGATTTCTAGACTCAAGAAATTGTATTCTTTGACCACTGGAGCCAAATCTATCAGAGCCAAAATATCTATGGTGTTATAAGACCCCTCATCCTATTGCTGACAGACTATACTTAGCAGTTTTGGTTTTTTTTTCTTTCATGAACTAATGTTTCTTTAAAATTAAAAAAAAGTCTACAGAACTGTATGTGGATTTTTAGGAAATACTTGTTCTGCCCACTGCCCAGCCACTGGTGGGAGTGCAAGACAGGTAATTTGAATTATGGAAAATCTGTTCAGAGTTTAGCTCTCCATTTTCTGCACAGGTGAAGTCTCCTAACTCTGCCTTTCAGGCTGATGTACTAATGTTTGCAGCCCAGTGGAGCACTTCAGAGATGCCCAGCTTCACCTTGGTCAGTAGGCAGCCTTTTCTCCAGGCACAGGATTGGTGGCAGGATCTGTGTAAGACAATAACTATACTATCAGTCTGGATGGGGGGGATTGCTGTTCCATATAATGCTTGGGGGAGGGAAGGAACTCCTTCCAAATTCTGTATTAGAAGCTTTTTAGGAAGTACTTGCTTTGCACAAGCCCTGACATGTTCTCTTGATGCATAGCTTGATGAGGAGCTGTGGCAAGGTGAGGAATAAGGAATGTATGGAGGATGCCGTGTTTGGGCAGGGGCAATGAAAAGACAAATTCTCTGATGCAGAGGAGGAAATACATTGCTGAAAAGAGAAGAAGCGGGAAGCAGAGATGAACATGGCACTAGCTCAGATCTCAATGTTGGTGTGATACAGCATCTGACTTGCTGAGCTCTTCAGGCACGCTGGCAAGCCTGACATGCAACACATGCACGCCTCTGCAGGGGAGAGCTCTGCTCAGCACTTGGTGCTGCCAAGCCCAGCGCCTGGCCTGCCCACGTATGATGCTCCATGCTCCTCAGGCTAGTGATTATCAGGTGCTCCAGCTGGCTCTGGCATGCTCCCTACATGCCTACATCCCTCTCCCTGCACCCCTGACTCTGAGCTGCACTGAGGGAACTGAGCTGCTCTAGCACAAGCATGGCCATGCCTGATTTTTCTAGACTTTGCTGGGTCTGATGCTGATCTGCAGCCCTGCCACAGTGAGCTCTGTCCCGTTGGTGTAATCTGACCACAAGCACAGGCTGACTAATGGCACGCTAGTGTTTTCAGAGGAGAGAAAGCTGTACTGTGAGACAAGTTTGGGCTGAGGGTTACATAATCCTTGGCTCCCTGATTTGATCCCTCAGGGTGGCAATTTCCTTGGATCTTCAAAAGTTGGTTAAGATTGTCCAAAACAGAGTACCTGCCCTTCTTTCTGATGTGCTCAGACCACAACAAGCTGCTGAGTCTGAGCCTCATCTAAACTGTTGGAAATTCAGTTCCAAGTTTTAGCTTTAGTCTTTGACAAAATTTTAACTTCAGGAATTTCTCTACAAGCATGTGGGTAACAGCAGAACCTCAGGTCTGTTTTTTTCCTGCAGATTCCTGACTCTTACTTTCTTCTGGGCTGCTCTCTGCTGCCCTCTCCCTTCTCACTCTTCACCCTTGTAAGTTCACTTCTTCAGGATTTAATTCTTTGTTTTAATCCTCACAATGCCAAAAATGTTGTCTGTTCTTAATGAAAGGGACCAGATACAGAAGTGAGTTACCCTGGTTTAATAATCTCCCGGGCATCTTTTGAACTGTGTTAATTAAGTGCATTCCTGGCCTGTGGAAAACATGGGACAAAATCCATGGAGGTAGACTTTTGGTGATAAACATTTCCTCCTAATGTAATTCATTTTCTGCCTCTCGTGTTACAAGCACATGTGCAGTGAGGATAAATCAGACAGTGTGTAATGCTAAGCCCCAGTAAATCACTTTTGTCTCTGAGCTGCAAACTGGTAAGATGATGCCACTGATAAAGATGGAAAGCCAGAGCCCCAGGCCTTCATGTAAGGTTTGTACACTCTCCCAGAGCTCTGCTTATGGCACTGCTGGGAC